AAAAATATTAATTAGAACAAAAGTCAGTTCTATCTGTTACACCCTGTATATAGAATAAATGACCAATCAAGATTGATTAAATCATCCTAAATCGTTTGATAAATTCATCCACCCACTAAAAAAAATTCGTAGATATGACACTTCCAGCTGTGATAATATAATATACCCATCATAGATAATAAAGTAGTACTAAAATATAATATTGTCACACATGTACAAAAACTCAGGGTATGCCTACGATAATGCTATACAAGTATAAGTGGTGTGAGTATATAAAAACAAATTAGTTTTGTTAAAATATAACGATATTCTTGGCCCATCCCAAAGTCCCCAATAATATTGTTATAACAATAAATAATATTTAAATGTATATTATTTAATGCATTAATTTAATTTAGTAGTTTAATAGGATTTTGACCTAGTATTTTAGAAAACCACTAAGAAATATATTTCTACTAATTGCTTTGCATTATTAATTGGGTAACTGTCCAACTTTAAAGTATTTCTGTGTAACTGTGAAACTAAGTTTACTAACTATGTACCCAATGAAGTGGCGAAGCGAAAAACTTGGAGACCAAAGAACAATAAGAGACAGAATCACAGAGTTTTCTTTAACACAAAACATTTAATTACAATTTTTTCATCAATAGATTATAGAGCATTCTATAATAATATGATGGCGGCTGCCTTAAATAACATTCTTAGTATAACTGTGCTCCAATTAGTGCATATTAGGACTAACTTTGATAATTTATTTTTGTAACTTATATCCCGAGTTTCCGAACCCGTTTGAAAAACGAATGACTTATATAATTATCTACGTAATATGTAAAATAATAAACGTCATCACTGTACATTTATTTTCGCTTATAAAATCAAATTATTTTCAACACAAATATAATAATAAAAAAAAAAATATTTAGTACCTATTATTTTTAATGCAATGATATAAGTCCTGTGCCCCCTTGAAAATATCTCGGGGACCCAGTGCCTAGGTCCCGATGACTTTCGCCTAAATACATCAATAACTATTATTAATGTATAATACTAAAGGTTTTTAATAAATACCTATATACCTAACAGATAGATGTTTTATATACTTTAAAGATATTGATGCGACTACTGACTTAACTCAAGATATATAATAAACAAATATTTAGATCGTAATGGCGCGTCTGTTTTAAATGGGAAACATAAAAAAAAAAAAAAAACAGTAAATGACTTAAGTATAAAATGTATTATAGTTTTATATTATTAAATTTACCGATCTTAATATTTTCTTTACGAAAAATTCCACACCCAAATTATTTTTATAATATAATGTATCCGACTTATTATGTTGAATTTTTGACACACAATTATTATAAAGCACTATAATATGTAAATTGTATACTAGGTATATATATACTTTATAATCATTATATTATATTATATACCTGCTCACAGTTCTACAAACAATTAACTATTTAAACGATTTCGCAACGTTAATTCAGGTCAAAAATTAAAGCACTCTATTTATAAAATACATTAGAACCTATATTTATGTATACAATGGGATGAATTAGAATTCCATGAGTTTAACAATGGATAACAAACTAACAAAGTGATTTTTGTTTGCAAATATTTCGAGTATAAAAACTGAAATTAACAATATACCAATGGCACCTATTGACCGTGACGTCAGTAGAATCTTCTTAGCATCTTCACGGTGTAGTGGGCAAGACCTTAAACATATACGTCGATTCTGCATAGAACGAAAAGACTGTCAGCCAGTTGTTTTGGCGGCATTCGAAATAAGTCAGCGTACTAGGCAAAACCTCCGAATCGTTTAGAAATACTCTTAAAGTAATAGGTACATAAAAACATTTTTCTTCAGGATTTCAAAATTTTTGTAAGTATTTAATCTTATATATATTCTATATTGCTATCACTATAAGCACAGAATAGTCGTATGGTACTCTATAGGCACAACATTTATAAGTAATTCATAAATATTTATTGCACGTGCACTATTTTATTCACAATCAATTTTTAAATTGTATAGATTGTGAAGATAAGTAGGTACTTATAAAGCTATAATATAAGCAAATAATTACGATTTCACAATATTTAAAATTTGGGTTTCATCATTAATTTTTTAAATGGTAGTTAACATTATTTAGGCAGACTGATTTTCTGACATTTTTCAGTTATTTTTACATGCTTTAACTTAACTAGAATGATCACCTAATATTCTAATAGAATTATAGAAGGAATGTATTTGGTTTATGTTATGTTTAGGTTATTAGATCCCCAATATTATACAATATTTTTAAGGATAGTTCATATTTTAAATAACAGGAATACTATAATCAAATAAATATTGTTAGTATGTTTTCTGATCCATTATGAGAAACAATGAAACAATGAATCAATAATCATTATATATTTTTGATATGTACTAATAATGATTATTTTTTTAAATAATTTAGTGTATTATTTTATTTTATTATGATAACATAGGACATATAGCTATAATCAACTTAATAATATAAATCAACGATAATTTAAAAAAAAAACAGAATACAAATTATCCAGAAAGTTATAATTTTATAAAATCCACAAAACTAATATTTTATATTTAAAACTGTCGCATTTGACTCAATTATATTATTTTTTATTTTTATTTTTATTAGAGAATATACAATATATACACAAAGGCATATTAAAATATGTGCTACAATATAATTTAATCAAAACATGTATAGGGTGACAGGATGAGGGAAGAATTCATTCAGTGATTGCACTTCTTAAGAACAAAATTAATTTTTGTATTTTAAAACCAAAACATTATTTGTAAAAATTATCATGGCTTTGTCAATACACATACTGTTATTTGTTGTGTATACACATGTATTGTAGTTTATRCACACAAAATATAAATTTATTTATTTTCATACTTTATATTATTTAAAAACGTTATTAAGCTGAACAAAAAATGATTTAGTGACACAGGTAAACATTTAGGTGAAATCAAAGAGTGCTAAAATACTTAATGTTGTCCAAAGACCTGTTAGGAGGGGAAATTATTTTTCAAAAATTAATTCAATTGATAAAACAGATAAATTATTGTATTTTAAAACAAGAAATAATGTCAAAAATTATAACACTTTTAGGTATAAGATAATGTTTTCCATTTAAAACTTAGTTATACAAATATTTATATTTTATTAGATTAGTTTATACAGTACTAAGCACTCCCTAATTATGCTATGCAATAAAAATGTACTTAATATAATTAATTATTTTATATTACTATTTCTGACAAATAAAAATGTGTAAACATTGTTTCGGGCTAAAATTTCGATTGCATTGAAATTAAATTTGATTTTCATGTGCAGGAGTACAGTAAAAAAAACTGTTTTTATTTCTCATTAATATTTCTATATTATTATAGAATAAAAACATATTTTTTCACAGAAAATGATGCAATTTACATAACATGTATTATGTATTATTTTATAATTAGAACGATTCCCAAATAAAATATATCCTTGACCACCACTAATATTATTCTCTTAAATTTTCCCATAGGGTATAATTGCTGGATTCAATTTTAATAACACGCAATTATCAATATCAACAACACTTTCGTGCTGCTATATTGCATGCACAATGCGCCGTCTCAAAYGATTACATTTTTATTAAACAATTTTAATATTTAAATAACGTTGGAAGTGGAAACTAGAATTGATGATTTTCACAAAGATAATCATCAGTCAATTTTTATCTTAAATAATAAATTAAATATTAAATATATTATAAATACATACGTCATATATATAATTATATTGTATGTACATCGTACATGTAAATGTAGCGTGTGAATGAATAGTGGTCTGCAGTCGATGACCATTATTTGTATTGCAGCGATCTTGTTTTAAGTTTTTTTCATCTAGCTTGAAATAATAAGTTGTTGTTGTTATTATTATTGTTGTATTATACTCATTGGAACCACATAATATAATAATATCAATTTCTTGTATAAATTGTAACTAAAGTAGTCTAAAAACCTGTGTTGTTGAAGCCTTAATAAACTTTGAAAAAAAAAAATAATAATATCAAACACGTTCAGGGTGTATTACTGCGTTGGTTCTCATATGAACACTAACCCGTTTAATGTATATACATATAAACTTTGCCACAGCTTGAACTATACACAATTACACAATAAATATAACATTCAAAATATTCAAATCAATATTAGTTTAATAAATTTAAAACATGCACACCTCAAACGATCATCTAACACTGTAACACAGTGTTTCTTAAACTAAACTGTGTTCCGTGGAACTCCCAAGGTTTTTTACATTACCGTCAAAACAACCGTTTTTAAATTGACTGAACCACACTATATTATTTTTTTTGGATTATAGGTGACGAAAGTCGTACTACAGTGTAGACGGGCTCTCACAAACTATATAAAAAAAATATACATAATTGTAACATGTATTGTATATACCGGGGTATACTTTTAGGTTGCAACGTAAGACACTCATGATTTTTCTAATTTCTTTTTTTTTTGTCTTTGATTTTTTAATMTTTTTATTTATGACAGCATGTATTTTAATTCTCTATTCTAAAAAAGAAAAATTTTCAGAGAGCTTAGGTATAAAAATCAAATTTTTGATTTTGAAACTTATCAGTATTGTATAAGTTGTGATGCACAGAGTGAATTGGTACAAGTATTGACATATATTATTCAGCTCGTCATTAATACTTTAAATATTTATACCTAAATAATAAATTATAAGTACTTGTTTGGAGTTTATTGATTAGTATTTGATTTTTATGGATCGAAATACAATACAAAATAGTAAAAAAATTCTTTTTGGAACAACTTAAAAATTATGTGTAAAAGTAATATTTTCTATAATAGCGAGCAATAGTATCCTCTCGACGATACAATCTAAATATGGTATTTGAGTGTATGTATATTATATTATCCTTTTTATGAGAATGTATGAACTAATATACGTATAATACATTTGCAGTATTCAGAATAGAATGTCGTCAATAATATTATTGTTACGATGTGAATCGAACCAGAAAACGTGTAGATACCTAATTATATATTATATTCTGGCTGAAAATCATCTTTATCAATCAGTAGGTATTTTTACCTGTATATTATATTATATACATATTAATATCATTGAGGTAATAATATAATATGTCGCCTCCGTCTGCGGATGACCGTTACGCGGGTGCGCAATTGCGCGGAGTACCAAACACGCGCGACGAAATGTCTAGTACAATAGGTACATGTAGTTGATCATGAGATGTGTGCAGCAATGAGTTGACGGCAATCAGATTTATTATTTTGGAAAAACGTTTAAGAGGTCGTCGTACCCAATGTCGTGTGTTACTTAATGTTACTGACGCACAATCCATAGCAAAATCTATGTCAATAATAGAACCCATTTTAATCTGTTATTTTTGATAAATTTTAGTATTTAGTGAATTGATCGACTATCAAACGGCGTTAAGGTAATGCTGTCATCCAGGGAACTTCGTATAGATTTAATTTGAAATTTTAATTTTGAAGTAGGTTATTATATGATCATTTTAAAACTGTAAATACACAATTTATTGAAGATACCTATTTAATATTTACACTATTGTGAGTATGACGTTCTTTTAAATTGGTTTTAAAGTAGGTACTACATCTAAGTCTACTCATAAAAATCGAATTTAGGACGAGTAGTTTATGAGTTATATGCATTTAAAGTTTAGACAAGCGGAGTAGTGGACAAACATTTTGCGGGGTAACCCCGTACCACTCCACTCTGCCAATCAAAATTTTAAATACTTATAACTCAACAATTACTAGCCCTAAATTCGATTTTTATGAATCAAAATACTTAGATATATTCTGCTTTGGAATATGAAATTAAAACTCTATGTTGTCATTCAAAAAAGTAAAAAACTTAAAAAATGATAAGGATGAAAAATATTTAAAAATATAATTTTTTAATAAAAACGTTGGTTTTTTAACAACTTGAAACCATGTAAAAAAATGTTTTGAAAAAAGTAAATACTTTTCGAGATAATTAGTGTACCCACTTAAAAGAATCACCCTGTATACACGGTATAATTATTAATTATGGATTCACCAGGGTCTGGCCCGTTTTCGATAGATTTATATTTTATTTGTATACTTAAATGATACGGCCGATGTAATGTACATAATAAAAAATAAAAAATTTACAAAAAACTCTCCGCTGACTCAAAAAAAAAATACGATTGAGAACGAATTTAAATTTTAAACTAAAAATTTTAATGTAATGAAAATAATAATATATTAAACGCATACCTAATATGTATACTTAAATAAAATGTGTACAAAGCATAAACCACTGTCGTCAATTAATATAATAATTATAAATTGAAATTTTATAAAAATATGGCATATGAAAATTTCTGAATAGCGTTAGCCAACATAATATTTTAAATATTTTAAGAAATTAACAGCATTTTATATTTTTGTATCACATAACTATTACATTAAAACGCTTATTAGGCATTTTCATCGTTACCTACTAGAAAACTGTAGTCTAAAGTATGACTTAATAGTTAATCCAGTTGATGCTTCTCACTTTCCTAAATCATCAAAATTTTTATATGCATTTCAAAGTCGATGTTTCTATTTATCTGGACCAATACGGCAGTACCAAATATCGTGATAAACAGTTTAATAACAAATTATTAAGTATAATAGCAACGTGAGGAAAAATATAAATGTTGAACGTTCTCAAAATATAATGAGACGCGTATTACGAAAGAAATCCATTGTCAACGATGTATTTATTAATGATTGATTAATTCACATATTGACACGGTGCAACCTAACCTAACACTGTAATAGTAATGTCGACACGATTATTCTTCAGTACAGTTGTTATGGCGCTATCGGTGCGGTGGAAATTGTCGATGATGTTGGTGACGGTGATGGTGATGATGGTGTCGGCGGACGGTGCGGGGCGGCGGGCTGCCGTGGACAGGCGGCGGGCTACCGTGGACAAGCGACAGGCGCCCACGGAAGGTGACTTCACGGACAGGTCGTCGGACGGATCGTACGCGTTCCGGTACGCCGACAATAACCAGTTCCACTCGGCCGCTGCCAATAAGGACAACGTCGTGTCCGGAAGGTACTTACTTCAACAATATGTATGCGTTATATACTAACACAGATGAATTTAAATTTAGGTATAATACGATAGGTATGTGGGTGTACCACTGTACCAATAATACTAATACAGTTAAATTTATAATTATTAATAATTATTATGCACACTTTTGCCTATTCGGCCGATACATAATGAAACCGTTKTCAACTGTAGTAATTAAAAAAACGACATAATTAAACTTACGGCAACAATAACAATTTTATGGTTTTATATGAGGTCGAGGCGCATATTATATTATAGTCACAAATGATTGGTACCGATTTTCACGCTCATACGTAAACTTGATACAATATAATATAAGCAAAAGACAAATAATAGGGATATACATTTTTAAGTGTGTTCATGTCGTACTGATTTTATAAACTCACACAGGTTTGGCTCCAGAAGTCCCGAAACCGGTCGAATCGTGCAAACATCGTATTCGTCCGGACCCCGCGGTTTCCGAGCCCGCGGACCGGACATTGCCAGACAGACAGACCTGTCGCAAGTTCGTTTGCCTTACAGCCCACCCGTGCCCACCGATTCATCCAAATACGATCCAGCTTACGACCGATACTACGACCCAAACGAAGATCCGAGCTACAAGTTCACCGTTCGGACGCCCACGCAATCGAAATCCGAAATTGCCGATTCCAGGGGCCACRTCGAAGGCGTATACTCGTACTTGGACGATGTCGGTAAGCATACGTTTTAAATAATTGGCGTAGGTACATTAYATCTATAATATTCTATTATAGGTAGTGAGGTAGGTATAGGTACGATTTAATATATAATTATTAAATTCACCTAAAATTAGTTGAAAAGTGTCAAAATAGGGTTCAAATACCGACAGTTTTAAGGAATTCGAATTACGCATTTTCTATGTGTCTTGTAAATGTGTGCGTAACAACTAAAGTGCAGATTACTAATATAGTGTGTAAAGGAAAATAGCAGAGCGCTCCCGTACGAGAATACTACATGTTTCAATAAGACGTTATACATAAATAATGCATCATGAAACAATATGCGTTTCATTAATTTAATAAAATAGTATGCTTAAATAGGTATTTTTCTTCTGCAAGGAAAATGTAAGAATCATAAAATATGTTATTTAATATATTTTTGGGTGTTAGGTGTGATGAAAAAATATACAAGAAGTATGTGCTACATTTTGTTATACAGGAATTCAATTCTATTTTAATTTTTATGGTTTATTTGCGTTTCTATATGGCAATAAATAAAGCGTTACAGAAGTTGGTTGGATACAAAGTTGTAGCTGCCCCTCAAAAACAAATATATCTCTAAAAAAAAACAGAAAACATTACTGTAGACTTGAAACATGTGATTTAAATAATATTCAGTGTTCGTACAACATATATTTCATGGTTTATAATTTTAAACAGGGTTCTTATGGGTTTGATAAAAAATTAAAAACATTAATTTCAGTTAAATTCGTGGGTTTTTGTTATATAAAATCTATATACAGCAAATCGATCTTCATGATTTGATTTCCACCAATTACAAATCTTCGTTGGCTATTTTAATTCATAATTATTATATTATGGCCATAGCCTACATATTAGTCAGTTAAATAATAAATACTACAAACTATACGCAGTAATTCCCCTGAAATATATCATACCAACACTGGTGCATAACTTAATCCGACTCGACACCCGTATGGCCATCATCAGCCATGTTTGATAAATAATTTCCGGGGGGGGTTTTTTTTTCAGGCAAAAGACACGACGTTCAGTACGAGGCGGGCGCTGGTACCGGATTCCACGTCAAGTCACCCCACCCGGATTCGGACGCGTACGGTGGCGTGTTCTACAATGGCCCGCCTGGCAAGCCGGGGGGCCGACCACGCGGCCACTCATCTGTAGTACTGGGCAAGGATGGCTCTTACGGGTTTACTGCGTCAGGGCCGGACCAGCGGCGGTCCGAAGTGAGCGATTCCAGCGGCCGCGTGCAGGGCTCGTACACTTATGTAGACGACAAGGGCGTGCAGCGAACGGTGCAGTACGTGGCAGGGCCCAACATCGGGTATCGAATCGTCAACAACGCGGCGGCCGGAGGAGCGGCCGCGGCGCCATCACTGCCCGGCAGCAGTGTAGTTGTGGGTGGTATCGGCAGCGTCGGTGGCAGTGGCCTGCAGGTGGTACCATCTGCAGTGACGCCGTCTGTGTTGCCCCCGTTGCAGTTGATTTCGTCGGCATCGTCCACGCCACTAACACCGATCGCGTTCGAATCGCAAGAACTATTTGGGCCCGCGGTCAGCACGTCCACACCGCTCCCGGATCGCCGGCGGCCCGAGCCACCAGTAAAAGGTTTTGGGGGCGGCGGCCTGTCCGACGAATTCCTGTCACCAGACAGCACACTGCCGCTGGGTTCGGCGTTCCCGGAGGACGATCCCGCGCTTCCACCAAAGAGGTGGCCTACCACGTACAAGAACAAGGACGAAGAATCCTTCTTCCAGTCACTCGAAAAGTTCGACAAGCGAAACCCACCGAAGAAGGGCTACCACGCAGTGCCGGAGGACAATTCCTACGGCCAGTCGACGACGRGTGCGTACGGCCTACTTCAGTCCCAGTCATCCACTGGCAGGCCGATTGGGCCGCCGGACGCGTCGTATGGCCAACCTTCGCGGCCGATTGTGGTGGACGACAAGTATGGACAATACGGCGGCACTGATTACCAGAAGTCCAAAGACGACGGCGTCCCGAACACTTTTGGCAGGTTCCCGACCGGCGCCGTGGTCAAGGCCCACGTACAAAGTTTGGACATACTGCCGTTTGGGTACAGGGTGCCATCGCCGTCATACGTTCTCGAAAAACAGTTTGGCAACGACTTTCAGAATTCGATCAAAAAATAAAACGATGCACACCGTCCACGATCATGATATTATAATGTACACGTAGTTGCTAATATTATCATGTTTATTAATAATGTATAAGTTCCTGGCCATCATGATAAGATTCATTGTTTTCCAAACATGTGTACGTTATTCTTAATTTCCTTCAATATATTAATTGCRGTTATATTGACCATCAACAACATGAAATATTATTGACACTTGTCAATTGACATAAGATAGACTTAAGARGACGCCGCACGGACATTTGTTGTCTCCGTCTTACAAAGTACAAAATTKCAAATTTTACTACTTTGCAATAATACATTTTTCTCTGTAATTTTTAAAATAAGATTGATTTACTTCGTATAAAATTTAAAAACAACAATATTATTTAGGGCATATTGAAGGATTTTATTGGTATTATTATTTTTTTAATTAAGTTATGGTCGTTTTAAAATGTACAAAAAAAAACAGTTTAAAAATAGACATATAACTTACTTAAAAATAATAATATCAATAAAATCATCTAAGATTCCCTGGATATTGTTTTTGCCTTTAAATTGTATAAGAGATAATTTCTCTCTAATTTTAGAAAAYAGAGTAAAATTATTATTGTGAAAGTAAAATGTATAATATTGTACGTTTGTTAGACGGAGAAAAATGCCCGTGTGGCGTGCTCTACTACTTTTGATGCTAGCGTATTGTTGTGAAAGTATATAATATGTACAATATATTTTAGTAAATAMCATATAATATTTTTAAATACRATTGAAGTGTAAGTCATAGTTTTATTATTCATCAAAATTTAGATAATAAGGACGAATTTATAATAAGTACCTAGTTTACTAAAATATTTTAAGAAGGCCACACGCAGTAATTAATAATTAGGTACCAGTATAATATTATATCATGCACTAAACTATTAAAAAATATTGTGTACAAAATATATTATTATTTATTAATGAATTGTGACTATACCTATTATAGTACCTATATATTAACTTATATCATACTTGTAATTTTTAACTATTAAATGAAAATTAATACGAATTTTTGTAAGTTCTATTTCCTTAAATGCGTTGCAGCTGTGGTATGCCGCCATTTCATCCTTCTATTCTGAAACCATACCTTTACCTAAGAATAAAATTAATATTATAATATGGTTACGATTTGCTAATGCTAATTCTTAATATTAACTGACCTGCAAATCAGTAAGACCAAGACTGGAAGCCAATATCTTCCTGTTTTGTTTGGTAATGTATTTTTCCATTTGGAAATAGTATTCTAACCAATTTTTTTGCGTGACTGTGAACACAGCTCTACCGGTACACTTCTCTTTTTTTTTATTCGTCGATCGATCTATTATACAATTTAATACATAAGTATATAGATGAGGTACCAATTCYGACAATGCCTATACAAATGCCCGATCACATGCAGATTATAATATTATGCCTACGTACGAGCAATTTATATTACTTTTTGTTTTAAAGTACCCATACAAAATATATAGGTAAATATTTTGTGGTTTAAAATCGCAAAAATATCTACTAAAAACCTTGTGGTTTTTTTTCAGTAAAGTGATACACGGATATTTACATAAATTTATAAATGACCTTATCCATATATAATTATCATTAATTAAATATWGTATTAATGAATGGTTAAGTGTATTTGAAAGTAAATTCTGAAACCTGCCATTACTTTTTTGTTATAAAATAGACATAAAAATKTGAAAATATATAAATTACAGTAGATTTTATATTATTTAATAGYTTTAACTTATTTATATTAAATCTTRTAYATACAATATAACCACACGATAAAATAATATTATATTAAAGCGTAAATCGCTCAATAATTCAATAATGCATCTATTAGGAAAGGTTTGTAACTTTAATATTGTTTATATAATATATAGATATATGAAAAATTTACATTGTGCAATTAATATTTATTTATTTTTGTCATTATTTCGTTACAATTCCAAAWTAAATTTTGGTACTTCGATTATGTCACTAATAAACTGGGAATAATTAAGTATCTTATATATTAATGGGAGATAGCATAGACCAGGGGCGGAAAACCTTTTTTTGCAATCAAGGGTTTGACAATTTTTAACGTGATGCCCAAAGTTTGTAAACACCAAATAGAAAATAATATATAGTAAAATAATCAATTTTACATAAAGAAATATTATAAATTTTTCAATGTTAACTATTTATTTCTTTAATTTTTTACAAGCAAAATTGCCAAAATTTAAAGGATAACATAATTTTTCTCATTTATAATTTTTCGCAAGCCATTGAAATTTKACAAGCGTGCCGTGGATTCGCCACCCCTGGCATAGACTCTCGATTCAACGAATTAAGCCTCTGAATATAATATTTGAAACTTAGACCTTCCTCATAGTATTAATAATAGCATAAATTTAATATTTACCCAAGTTACTGTTAGTATTCAGTATTCTATCAATACCAAAATTCAATGAATCCGTCACTTGCAGACACACTTGTGATTGTCTTCGATCCATTTTGAATACTAAATATTTAAATTCACTATTCACAATTTGTATTTTTAGTTTTTGTTTTCCAAAGAGATGATTGTAGAAGGAGAAGATAATTAATAGTTTAACARATCAAAATTGTTCACTAGTGTCTTAAAAATCTAATTTACGACCGTTGTGGTTTAAATGTTTTAACAATGTTTACGCCACGTAAACGTAAAATACCAAGTGTCAGTTTTCATGTTATGAGATTCGTGTTGTTTGACGCCAGAACATTTGGACGCAGCTGTTAAAATAAAAATCAATTACATTTTATATACGACTATGACTATGTAATATAATCTTAGGCATTTATACACATTATCATGTTGTATATTATAGTCTGTAGACTTTATTTCTGAAGTGCATTGGTTGCGTGATGTATAATTTATAATAGTGATTCTAGTAATCATAGCCAATGGAGTATCTATTATAAATATATTGACCATATGTCAAGTCATACAGGACATTTAGGAGTACAACAGTTAAAATTTGGTTAAAATTCTAAATACCTAATAAATATTAATCAATTACTGCATGTACGCCACCCCAAAGTGCGTGCGGTTGCGTGTGTAATGATGTACATTATTCAATTTTTATCCGCGAACAATAATACATGTGTGCTGTACGTATACGGCTATAGATCAGTGTTAAAATAATAATTTAAAATGATGCTCAATATGTTAGTTCTAAAATCATAAACTTTAGCTATTTTTAAATGAGGATAAAACAAAGTTTTAAATAGGTACTTATAATTATGCTATTGCACTTGTCTATATAATTATCTAAATCTCCCTACTATATATGTATATGTAGGTGTGTATGCATTAATAACATAATTAGATCATTAGGTCACATCATATACTCACATGTGCTGCATTGCACTGTTACTTCAGGCGACACAAATGTGTTCGCCATTTAGTGCGAAACGATGAAATTAAAATTCTAGATCTTGATTATTTACACTTTACAGCATGTCAATGATATAAAATATTATTTATCATTCCTTAACAGTGAGGGCTTGAAGCAACATATTACAAAGTTATATTAGTACCTACCTATATGTACATGTAGATAAATGMAAGTTAACAATGAATACTTTSCTGATAGGATTAATTTTGTCATTTGTATGTTATTTAAACGGGCATGAAGAAAAAAAACCCTATTGGAACAAAGAAACTATGGATCTTGAAGCATTGCCTTTAGAAAAACTGTTAGAAATGAAAAAAGAACTTAGGATAAAAGGTAAGAAATGTTTTAAGTACTTAAACTATAAACAATACAATTTTATTAAATATACATATTCATTAATTGACCTATAAAATGRACATTATTTGCACAATGCTGACTTCTATTATCGTGATAACATAAATGTTTAAATCAACGCTGGATCTTCTTTAAAAAAATTCAATTTTTGTATTAATATTATATTATATAGATGACAATTAACAATACTACGTATTATATAATTTTTATTTTAGACTCTAAGCGCTCCGATGATTAAAATACTATAATATATAATGATATATATAGGTATATGTAGGCGAAACTATGGGTCAGAYCACTAAGGCCATGGCCTGACCTGATACTAATTGGATTATATTCTGACATAATTAAATTTAAATTTAAATAAAAAACTTATTTTGTAATTAGAATTTACCYGGGCCGGCGTTGCTAGTTAGTACCTAGTCTCGGATGAATGACCACCCGTGTTTTAAGAAACAAACTCTTGCGACACATACAAAGTGTGTTTTAACAAATCGTTACCCCACACAGTAGGTACCAAACTAATAACCTGAGTAATTGAAARCTTAATTCTAATTTTTAAAAAAAGGATCAATATATACCTAGAATACCRCGCGCGAAGAGTATATCATATAAAGATGTTTATCTATTAATAATATAATATGCAGTATCATAATTATAGGTACATAGTGTTGATGATGGAAGGTGGGAAACTTTACACCAGTAAATCATTTACATCGAAACACAGCGCAATCAGGGATGATCTAAGAAAAATATAACTGGGGAGGTATTGATTTAGAAATCCCGAATTTTCGCTAAATGGCGAAAGAATTTATTAAGTTTCAACAGCCAATTGAAACTTGAAAGTATAATATATTAATATATTAATGCGGCAGGGTGGTAGAGTGCCACCCAAGACCTATTTCGGTTTTGTCCTTGAACGTTGAGCACAATAACATTATATGTAACAGCAGCCCCGTCATGACATAAAATGTACGCTATATTTTGTCCATCAGATGAAAGTTCGATACGACAAACGGACGATGCGGAAGCGGCTACAGTAGTAGAGGACACGCCGAATGCTATGGCCTTGCGGAGGACCACTGATGTTCTATACTCGTCGACGGCGGCGGCGGGCAGTTCTATGCAGACGGCCTTTCAGATGTCCCTTACCGTCCTGTCGTTCCTGGCTTTCGGCGGCTACCTCATCAGTCTGGTCGCGCAGAACATGCGCAGATCGACGCAGTCACTTGACGGTGCCACTGCGCCGCACCCGCTCAAGGCAGTGGTGGTAAACCGGAATAAACGGCCGGGTCTATTGAGCAGACCGTCCGGACCCACTACCACGGTCAGCTTTGGCCGACGAAAGCGGAGCCGGAGGTTACCGCGTACCACGTTTGTCTGTTCTGACTAGTGTTTGTTTATATTGATTGGTTTTTTTTTTTTTATTATTATTATTTATAATATACACAATCTGTACACTTTTATATACAACTAGCTGAACCTGTGCACTTCGTAGTCCGTTAAAATCCTACCTCTTAYATGATTCATGCTGTGTGTTAAACTGTTAAATTCATTTTATGTAATGATGCTWGGCTAGCATTGCTAGCAGTATATTTTTATGCATAATGATAGATAGATAGTGGTTAAAATATATTATAATCTTACAGCGATATTGCCRATATTCAATTTCAACAATTTCGTATATCATTATGTAATTTTCTTCGTTTTATTAATATAATTTTGACAATTATTTAAATATTCAGTTGAATGATATTTAGGCACATCRCTTTCTAACTTAGCCTATCTTCTGCCCCGCATATGTCTAATAATAAATAAAACCGAATAGATGGTAAACCCTAAATACCGAATAAACCGTGTAGTTGTGCTGCTACAGTGGTACTGTCATTATACTGATCACCGATCCTCATTGTCTCCAGAACATGCTGAAGAGTTAATTTTTCTATTTATGAATGCCAAATTGCCAAGTATATATTTCTTAATGACTCACTATGGCATACAGTGACCTACCCAAATTACTGTTGTTACATTTTATAATTATTATTCTTTCGCAAGACGCGAMATTATTATAGTACTTTCCAGACGCGGATCCAGAAAAATTTAACAGGGGGTGCTCAAAAAAAAAAAAAAAATTGTTACACCTTACTATTTATTTAAATATTACCATTTTCTATTTGATTTATTAGTGCTAACTTTTTTTTCATAATAATTGTTATCGGTGCTTTCCGCCGTTGACGCGTGTCGTTATAATACACACGAGTATACTACGAAAACAATTATTAACAATAATAGTTATTATTGTCGTAGTGACGGCGATAACAAAAAGCACCGAAATTATTATTATTATTAATATTATTAATTTTATTTTGAAAAATAACAAATTATATAATTTATAATATAAATTTATTTTGTTGGTGTCTAGATGACAGGGGGTGCCTGAGCACCCATAGCCCCCCTCTGAATCCGCGCCTGGTACTTTCTTTTTCTTTTTTTCTTTAATTCCTTAATAAAATAAAATAAAACTTTATGATTATAATAAATAAATATATATATATTTCTTTAAGTTATCTTACTATAGTCGGGTGAATGAAAAGTGGCCACTGACAATATGATAGGAACCTTTTTTTTTCGATAAGCCATGGRTTCTCAAAGTGAATCACGTAAAATGCGATTAATAATGATTAATAATTCAAAATGCGAGCGCTTTTTTCCATAATTTTGCGGTACAATTATGAAAATTCACTGCTAGGTGCGTGAGCATCAGCGGCCACTTTTCATTCACCCGACTGGCCGACTATAACATGATTTACAGTGAACTTTTTATATACCTATACACTGTAAACAGCACACATTTTTTTTTTATGTTCTGAACGTTAGTATTTTTTGAAGTATGAAATAAYTATTAGACATTAGTACAAGTTCTAGTGCTTGCTGTTTTCTAGTATCAATGGTAATAGTGTAGGTTATATAGTTTATAATTAACTATAAAGTAGGTATAGGTATACTGYGAAACAATATTAAAGTAAAAAATGTATTATTCTGGTAGTACTGTACCATATCGGTATTTCGATATACCGCAACGTTTCGTTGTTACGGTATACCGAAACGTTACGGTTTTTCGGTATACCGAAATTTTACAGTTTTTTGGTATACCATTTCAAACCKGTATTGAAATCAATACCATAATACCGAAAATTATTTTCAATACCACCAGCCCTACATTACAGTAACCTAGAG